ATTTAGCTGCATGTGTGATCTGAATAGAGATGAACACTCATTTACCTGACTGATATAAAGGAAAAAAGAAAACGCATTGTCATGGTGAAGAGCTAAAGCAGAAGTATAATAGGTTTAAATTGTGCCTTCCCTGGCTCCTTCCCATCCTTCCTCATTAACATGCAGTCATCACTAGGTCCCTTTGCTTCTCTATACAATGCAGGCAGATCAGCTGGTAGGAAGGGCCAGGCTGGGTGCTGTACACCACTTCCTGAAAACATCACAGCACCCTGCCTCAGTTCTTCTCTGGAGAGCTTTTAACCTTGATGCAAGCAGTGGGCTGGTTCTGCAAATATCACAATACCATAATGCAGGGCTCAAAATTTCACGTCCTGAGTTACTAGGCCTTAAGAGTTAATCGCCACCAGTTGCCCCACCTAATCCCTACCCCCGCCCCTAAACACACCAGGGCTGCAACGCACGTTACAGAGCTCAGGGCTGCAACGCACGTTACAGAGCTCAGTACTGCAACGCACGTTACAGAGCTCAGTACTGCAACGCACGTTACAGAGCTCAGTACTGCAACGCACGTTACAGAGCTCAGTACTGCAACGCACATTACAGAGCTCAGACTGCAGGTGCCTGAAAGAGCCGAATGCGATTCTCCTCCTCCTCGGCCGCTACAAAGCGGACCAGGAGTGAACACAAAGCCAGCGACCGCCGCTCAGCAGCGGCGGTAGTGTTCGATTGCAGGTCCTGCCGGCGGCGCACCCCCTCCATGGCATTCCACTCACCCCCACGCAATTTTCAATTGCAAAATTGCGAGGGGAAATTTTGAGGCCTGCCATAATGGATGGATGTCACTCTGTAGTAGTTGGGTTTTCCTTGGCAGGCTGTATTTGCATGCAGGCTGTCCTAAATAACACCCATTAGTGATGCAGAGTCTCCATGATTAAAAGTATTGAAATCCAATTAATAAAAAAGGGGTGGGCCAGGGACAGTCAGGCTGGGGAGTAAAGAGCTAGATGTTGACCGTCCTCCAGCCCTGAAATGAGGCAGGCGCCATTTGACTCTCCAGCTTCTAATACATATTGTGAGAACCTTAAAGTGTGCAGTGAAATCAGAGTAAGCCATTTCAGTGTAGCAGAGCAACCGGTACAACTTTGCAAGACTAATGGGAAGGCCGGAGTCCAGCTTTAACATTTCTGCAAAGTGTTTTTTCTTTAGCTATCCATAGGGGGAGATTTTCCGTCACTTCCTGTCCCTGCAATGCCTATACGTAAAAAAGCGACTACAGTTGCCATTGGAACAGAAAGACCCAGACAGAAATTGAAAGGCCTTCCTCATTCTACCATTTAGTTTTGGTGTCCCCGTGGGAGGATTACCCATCATGACAGGAAGTGAGAGGAAATCTCCCTAATGGGGACACAGGTTGCAATAGGAATTTGACAGGCTCCAATTCTTCTCCAATCAATCCAAAACAATTGGCTGGAGATTTACCTAATAAAATATTTTTGAGATATCAGATTGTTGTGATGCATCAGACACCAAACCGAATTAATTTGTCATGACCGGACTGTG